CAATTTTCCCTCCAATCGAACCAACATATTTTGTAATAAAATCACAACTTCACACATTCGAAATGCCAGTCGGATGATAACCAAAATTGCAAACAACCATTTTGGTGGGATTTCCTTTGCCATTCGCCATAAATATGAGGGCAAATGTGATTCCAGTAAGCCTTTCGGTGGAATTACGGATAATTTTATTTATTATTAACGAAATGCCACAAACAAGCTCGAATCGCATATGGATTTTTCAATCTCTTCTTTTTCGAATGCAGCAGAGATTATGCGGCTCACGCCTATGGATTCTGCAATTGTAACCATTTTGAAAATGGTTGCAAAGTTCACTCATAGCGATTGCTAAATCGAAGCGAGTAAATTAAAGCGTGAGGCGAAAAATTTAATCTGCTTGAATTACAATTGACACGTGACATTTCCCGCTACGACGAATATCACGCTGATCGCGTGTTTGCATTCCGTGTATTTGGCTGAAAAAAGTGATAAATGATTTACGTATCAGCAACCAGCTGTATTTACATTGCGCTGCTAGATTCCATTAGACATTATTTTGATTATATATCCTATCTGAGTCATAGTGGAAAAAGCGTATTCCGAATTTCATGAAGATTATTTTCTCCATTGTTGTTTTCCCGTCCCCTAGCGCATATTTTGGATTTTTCGGCTGCATGCCGAATCCACTATTTACTTACGCCGGATTCAAGCGCCTAAAACCAAAACTAACAAACGCCTTTTCGGATGCGAGCAGTGAGATTTCGGAAAGTGCCGAGCCAAGCCGAGCCGAAACGAAACGCGTTATCTTCAGCATATAAATTTTATTCAAACACAACATTTCAGCGTTGTTCATTGACTTCTTCGCTCCCCGCACCGACTGTTCTGTGTTTGTGCCGCGCATTCGATGGAAATATATACAAAAACATTTCTTGTAACCCACTCAATCTTAAATCTTTCATGAATACATTATATTTAAATTTAAAAGCAGATAACATTGACGCGTTGCTATGGCGGACGCATTACATAGGACCGCGTCATGTTGTAAATTGTGCTCGGGCTGTGCAGCTTTTTCAAATGGAAAAATGCGATGTATCAAACGCAGACAAAGAATCCAAAGCTGGGCTACATATCGAGATCAAACTACAGAAGCAAGATAAATTGAATAACTGAATTTTGAGCAGCTAAGAACTTATCAAAAACCATTTCCTCCTGCGTTATTCACAAAAACCCCCCCAATCCATGGATATGTTTATCAATTCCAATGGGGATTTTCGTAAAGCCAAACAACAAATCGAAATTCGAACTAAAGAATTTCTTACGTTTCCAGACTGTTGTTGATTTCGGTGAAAAAATTGATTGAAAAAACATTTTTGTTTCATTAAATTTGAATCTTCGCGTGGAAGTGAGGAAATTAAAACCATCGTATGTGCATCTGTGCATCGCAATCAACCGAGCAAAGGCTTTATTCATGTAACGAATGCCCACGTATTGAATCAACACAATAATCAACAACAAATAAAGTCTCGAAAGCGGAGCTGCAGACAATTTTCGAGTTCAACTAAGATGATGTATTGATAAAATGCAACTAATTCCAACTCAATGGGTTTAATTTGTGTGCAAAAACGCACGTTTGTCGATTGCAAAAAAAATTAAAGAAGAAACACACGGACAACGCCAAGACAGACTCTCCGATTGAATGTGTCTTTCGAGTGCATTGAGTGAATAAATTGTCTATTTAAAGAGCTAGATTTCAGTTGGCTGGCCGTGCGGCTGTAGCCAAACAAAACCATGAGTATATATTTGACTTCGAGGTTTGTCTTCTACTATTTCATATTATATCTCATTTCATAAATTAAACGCCGCACTGACATATACACATTGCGGAACCATAAATTCAAGCATTTTATGGGATGGCTACGTTTTACATATTTTTGTCAGATACAAAAACATGACCACAAACGCTGTTGCTGTCGCTCGCTCGTTCGCTCACTCACTACTAGCGAAGTGGTGCATGTCGTGTTTGGAGCAACAGCCATTGTAGATTTGTGGCTTTTAGTTGAATAAAAATAGATTAATTTAAAACACATTTTTCGAAGTGTCTCACGAACAAAATAACACCAATAAATAGTCATGTTTTATTTCATTTGTTTGGATCAAGCGACACTTTCCATAATATTCCAATATTGATTACTGTGAACGCGGAATTCCCTCGAAAAAGTTTGACTTTAGCTGCTCATGATTACGAGAAAAAATAATAACCGAAAAAAATCGCCGCAATCACGATAAGAGTTGCTTGCTTGGCGACATGAATTATCAAGCGACATGCAAATGGGCTCCGGAGAAATCCACTAATTTCAAGTGTCTCGATATACACAAGCCTGATTTTCGACAAACGAATCTAATATGTTTCAAGGTTAAAAAAGAATTACGGACTAAAGCCGATAAAATTGAATGAATTATCGCCAAGAACACAGAACATGCTCGATTTGAGTCTACCGCATACTAAATAACCATTAGCGAACGAAAATAAGCAAAAAAAACACAAAAACATGCTCCTATGATATTTGCAAAAGAACTTCGGCTTTGATTATAAGATACAATAAAAAAAAACGTACAGTCGCACACATTGCAAAAGGGTGCCCTTTGTGTTTGAAGGTATCAGAAAATTACTCTCCATTTGCTATTCCGATGTGTATTTATTGATATTGAAACAATTGAATCACGTTTTCAATTCACATTCAATTGCCCGAAGTCTCGAGTCGAATGCAATAACAATAAAGAATGATCGAATGAGCCATTTCAAACGTCTGCAGTTCGTCACGACGGAAGCATTGCAACTCAAAACGGAAAAGAAGAAAGAAAAGAACAATGATGTTGCTTCTAACGCTTATCGAGACACGACGAATAATTAGTAGCGTAATTATCGAACCGCAAATGTGTGTTTAATGAAAATACCTACTAAACAAATAATACACTGACTCCTCAGTGTAGATGTAATAAAAAAGATGACTATTTCAATGGATAAATAAGTAGCCATCAAATGAAACTACGTCGTAAAACACATCAAAACACACCATTAAACGGAAACTCTTTTATTGCGTGTTCCTCATATAAAAATTACCCATAAAAGAGTTATTTATCAAAGTATGCTTAATGAATTTTTATAGGAGATTCTTTTTGCTTCGACGTCAACAGGCTGGCTAAACGGCTGCTGCTGCTGCTCAGCCTAGCCCACTGACAGCGAAACGTGTAAAATAGACGAGACATGTGATCGAACCCAATTATTATGCATTTCACATACAAAATGTTGACTCGGTCATCCCAAGCCGCATCGATTCTTGCTCAACTACTCTCTAAGCAACAGCACTCGTTTTAATGGATTCCTCTCCGACTAAGTTGATGTCCCACATAAAAATGATATAAAAATATTTTCTTTATCGAAATAACTTTGCAGCAGCAACATTTGCTCGTTGGACACACACACACACACACAAAATATACAACGAGTGCTCCTACGTTTGCGAATCCAATTAAAATTGCTGAAAACTTTTTTTGAATAAAATATTTCGGATTCATGAAAATCAAATGGATTGAGAAACTTCGGCACAGAAACATGTTCTGAATTTTTGGAATAGAACCAATTTTGTGCCGCGAAAAATCAATAGTTAACCCACATCGACTGTCGGATTAAAGAAACTGCCCTTAGCTCTGTGTCCAATCGAAATACTGAATTTAGACTAGACGAAAGACAAATATTTCTTCTGTGCATGAGAACCGATTTGATTAAACATCGTTCAAGACTGAATAAGTATTTTGCATTTTTTTCATTTATGAATGAAGTTTATGAATATCTTACGCTTAACTAAACCTATCCAAAAATTCTTTAGAAAACAACTTGATATTCAGAAAAATAGGAGGAAATATTATTATTATATTATCATTAATATTACACATTCTTCGTTCTCTTTTTAAAAAAAAGTACAAATATTTCGTGTGTTTTTCAAGGGTTAATGAAAGAAATCATTTCGATTCAATTTAAAACTGCTGAATGTTCATGTTTTCCATTCCAAGTGCGATAAAATGAAATCCTGAAATGAAAACGCAGCAGTATTGAATGTGTATGTGTGTGTCTGTATATGAACGGAGCCATCAAAAAAACGGTCCGTACAAATACCAATGAAGAACAAACATGGCTGCCGCATACTGCGAGTACACACCAAAATATGGTGTGTGTGTGTGTGTATTTATGTATGTGATTGAGTGTTGGTATCAACAACGAAAGAAAGCAAAAAGAGACGAAGCGGAATCAAGCAAACATTTGCATCCATAACCGGTCCCGCTGATGCTATACTCATGCATTCCGCATGACTACACATTCCTATTCATGCATGAATGAATACGCGCACGCTAATACAATTGAACACACAGAATGTTGATTCGGTTCGCTTGTTCGCTCATCAACACAACGCACGCTCGTGTGTGTATATGTATTTATGTATGCGTGTGATGCACGACACACAACGATGTCAACTGTATAGAGTGGATATGAAATACACGGGACCCAAGCACAGGCTAAAAATACACAGTGAATTTTAATAAATCAACGACTCAAGCGATAGCAGCTACGCAAGTAAACTAATACCGAATACGTTGCCACCATTCACATGACTGCTCGTCGACGTGCCATACACATTTAACATGGTTGATGAATCGGAAGAGTGTGCGAGCGGAGGGGGGAGGTCTTGCATACGTATTGCTTTTGCCTATGGTTTCAGCATTTATCTACAACGTGCCACTTTTATGGCTAAGAAAATGTTCACTGATTATTTTGTATTTGTGCAGGCCTAATGAATTCCACTGACGCAACAGCACCAATACAATCACACGCCCGCATCCGTGAGCCTATCGTCAATGTTAGTGAATGTGTGGCTGTGTTGGTGCCGTTTTTAATTTTGTTTGGCGAGAAAATTTATTCCTGATGTAATGAACTGGCATAGGAAAGTTGTCAGCATTGTTTTTGGTGTTTCTGTTTCGCAGTGGCTTTTTTCTTTTTCATTTTTCTTGTTTTGCCAGCTATACACAGTGTGTTCCCGGCTTAAATCAACTTTCCGCTGGCTGTCACAATGTTTTTATTTTTCAACCGATCCAATTCATCAATTGATTTTATTTGTAAACAACATTTTCGAATTATTTCTCGTTTTAAATAGGCTTACTGTTGATTTTTGTTGTTGTTAAGTGTCAAGTTTTATTTTGTCAAGAGTTGAAAAGAGTTGAAATCCCAAACAAAAAGTGCTAACTGCAACTAAAAGATAAAATTTGTAAGGAAGATTCCATCAGTTTTGTAGAAAGTGACCAAAATATTGTCTGAGAAACAAGAACGAGTAAGCTAAAACCTGATTTCATGTGACACAATTATATATAGATACATTATCTGTTTCCAATCAGCAAGTTACATACGATATTAAGAAAAATCTGTTAATAATAATTATTCATTTTGCACCCGTCTCGAAGATTGAACACATTTGGGAATAAATATTTCCATTTGATATCCAATTTTCCTTCAAATTTCAACTTTAATCAAAATTTAAAAATTCATTTCGCCGGCCAAATGAAAATGCGTCGGCATTTTTCCCATTCCATTGCGCACGCAGAAGCTTTTGAACAATCTATAAAAAATACATTGTATCTTTTCTTTAAATCAAGTGAACACTTAATTTTATAAATTAATTTCAATAAATTCAATTCAATAACTGAAAAACAAAAAAAAATGAAGAAAAAATTGTGCCGTAGGCGCAGAAAAAATTCATACGAATCTAAAAAGCAGCATTGCTCAGTGACATCAATGCGAGCGAGAGCGACTACAACCCTGGCACATAATCGTAAAACACGCCCATTTGCTGCTTCTTCTTATTCGCTTATTGCGCTCTCAATATGAGGAAGCCATGATATTCGGCTGTGTGGCAGCAGAGCACAATCATGGTTCTCTTTTGTGCACATATACGAGAGCATAAAAGCCGTCTTAACGACGCGTATACAGCATATTCATCATTTCAGGCGATGGGTGTGTGATATTACAGTGCGCCGGGTGTTGCATGCGCCTGACTGAAACGGCCGATGCTCGCGTCAACGCGGTGGTGGGACCGAGACAGAATGATGCTATGATCTGAGTTGAATCGTTCGTTCAATACACAGCCGTCTTTGGTGATTGTGTGAGTGGACTTTGTTCAAAACGGTGCGTGTTATCGCATCGATTGCTCTATTTCGTCTATTCCATGGTTTTAATCGAAATGATGACGAAAAAAAACTAACTTTAGTCTCAATTTTTTCTTTAAAAAATGAAAATCATGAAATTCATCGGTCGTGCAATTTCAATAGCGCGTCAAAAAGACGATTTCATACCTGCTTTTATTGCGTTAATATTGAGCATATTTCCTTAATGAAAAGAATTCATAAAAGAAATTTCAACGGTTGCGCGCTCGACAATGGAACGGTACACCACATCTTTTTCTCGTGTGGCAAAAGCGTGAGCGTGTGCCTTATGAACGTGTGCAGATAACACACATTTTCGGGGTCTGGATCTCGAAGCGAGCAAATAGTACGTACCCACCGTGTTACAAATGCACAGACACACACACCGTACGGTTGCACGGTCTCAAAAAAGGCAGCAATGCGAGAGAGAATAGGAAGAATCGAGCTCCGAAATGGAGGTAGTGCTTAAAATCATCGTTTTTATGGCCACTGTTATGTGCAAACGAGATGGCTTTATTGCTGCATCGTAACGTTTATCGTTTATTGCAGCTAGAATGGGATATAAAATCTGACAATCGCTAAAATGAGAAGAAAACTTGTGAGAAAAAACGTCAACGCATGTACAACTGAGCAAAGCAAAGACGTTCGGTTGAAGAACAAGGCACACACTACACATCCTCTTACGGGTGGAAAACTGACAGAGAAGAAAAGGATTAGATGTGATAAGTGAAAACGAGTAGGTAAATCGAGCATTTGAGTTGCCTCTGTGTGTGTGAGAACTCTTCTGCTCAGCATTGAATTTTCCATGGCATCGATGCGCACGCTTCGATTCACCACACAAAAGCAATACACCAAATGAAAAGAATATGTTGGTGTATGCGATACCGCGTTGGGTGTAGAGAGACACAATACAATTTTTGGCATTGCTTGCATTTTAAAGCAGAAAAAAATGAAAAAACGAGAGCAACGAATACGAAATTGGAATATTGTGAGGGATAAGAAAAGTGGCAAAGAATGAAAAAGAAGCGCTCTCTCACATTCGGAGAACGAATAACGGCGTAAGCGAATAAGTGCATGTTTATTGCTATATCCCTATCGTCGGTAGTACTTTGCAGTTGTTTTCATGTCGTACGAGCATCATTGCAGTCGCAATTTACGAGACATTTATGATGTGTGAAAGAGCTCTGTATAGTTCATAAAAACTGAAAGAAATGCTGCGGAGAGATTTTTATGGGTCGCTTTGGTGTTTTTTGGCGAATGCGATGCGTCGGTGCTGCTTGCATCGCATAAACCAACATATTCTACGACTTTTCTCACTCACTCACTTTTTGGTTGTGTTTTGTCTTTCTGTTATTTTTCTCTGGTGAAACTTTTGTTTCCATGGTTTTAGGTAAAATTTGACTTTTTTTCGGTTTTTATGTTTTGAATGATACTTTTTATTGCTGCTCATTGGGAACGTGCTGCACGTCAACTAATAAATGGAAGCACAAAGTACACACTCAGAATATTTTTCTCAAATCCAAATAAGTCGTTGTGCGCTGGCACAAATGATCTCTTTTGATTTTCAAGTTCCGTTGGCCTCCGTATTGGTTGGTTGGTTGATGTGCCAACGACGATCAAGTGCGAGGCAATCAAATGAAAACTAGCACGCTCATAAAATTTATGTAAACATCAAGTATGAATACACAACAGTGTTTAAAAAAACATTTCAAGGGTTAATAAAAATAATGGCATTAATGAATTTAAGTGGAAAATGTACGAGTCGCTAGTTGGCAAAGCATTAATTCGAATTATTTATGGCATCGTCACATTCGCCTGGCAAAAATGAATCCGCTTATATAACTATATGGTCTAGTAACGATGCCAAGAACTAGATACAAAAAAGCACGCACGTATCAAGTGTAACACCTTTCATCGCGATTGCGCCGCACTCGCTTCGATGGATGGCACAAGCTTTTTCACAATTGCATGCACTCCACTCTCGTCGTCGCCTTCATCATCATCATCATCGCATATCGTTGATATGCACATTTCTTCATGTAAATTCATTTACCATGTGATTATGGTCGACTTTTGATTACGTTTTAAGCGAGATATTATTGTTGATTACTTTTTCTCCATTCTTCAATTTTGCTTTTTTTATCACGGCAATTTTTGCCGCTCGAGTTTTTCCATCTCTTCCACTCTCTGCCATGCAAAGAAAACTGATTGGCAAGTGAAAATCGTAATCGGTTTTGCGATAGCTTATCTTCAATTTTTTCGATGCGCCAAATTATGGTTTATAATAAAATGCAGGATAAATGAATGGAAATTGGAAAGTGATTTCTGTGCGCAGCCTGACTACAAGCACCTCATTATTACGGCAGTTTTTTTTCCAGTTTTGCTAACGAGCAATTAAATATATTATAGTCATAAATATTAAAGCCATCGATCTTATTCGCTGCACTTCTCTTATTGCCAATTAAAGCATTAGTAGTTTAAGCTGAAACTCAATTAAAAAACCGGCCAGTCTTCCAATCGGACTTGTCACTTCTAATTTAATTGAATCAAGTCCTTCATCAAAAAAAAAACAACAGATGATGGTAAATACAAAATAAACGGCTCCGGTATAACCTAATAAATCTTGTCGTTTTAATTTCTTTTTCTTCAAAAACCATTTGCAGTAACAATGTAACGCTGCTATTCCAGAACACGTTTTATTTTTCGAAAGCGAGCTCATTTTTTTCGCAAATTAATATTCAAAATCATATAAATACATTATAATCTTCCGAGCAGAAAAAAAACTTGATTTTCAATTTACATTCGGGAAATTGCGTAATGTCGTACGATAATTTTTTTTATTAAGTTTTGATGGTTTTCCTCAGCTCATTGAATGATGGTCACATAAAACGCAAAAGCTTGAAGCCAAAACAGAAAAGAAAAAGGGAACAGAAAACAAAAATGATACGTTGTTTGCTGGCATTACGCATTCTGGCCCATGAATATTTTGAAAACGTGCCTGCAAGCCAAACTCTCGCATACATTTAATTGTAGAACAAAAACTGCAAGTGTTGTGTTGTTTTGAATTAAAATTCATGAGCCGAGTTTCGGTTGTTTGCGTGTGGTGGCAACGACAGCTCTTCAACTCTGTCATCTATTTATATATCATCGCGTTTTGTGCATCGCAGCAAATGGCCAAATGAATGTGGATGTGTATATGTGTACATAATGCGGCGCAAAAGACTAAATTAAATGTGAAAATAATAATAAAATAAGCTCAAGTATCACGAGTTCAGTAATTGTGCCGTCAATTACGATCATAATTTATTGTGGCTTATGTGCAAAATAACCGCATCGATTGAAAGAGAGAAAGAAAGAAAAATGTATTTGACGCACAGTATGTAGCTGTTGATTAAATGCATATCAATTTTTACACATTGTGTTCATGACCAGTAGATTCCTTAAAATAACAACCGACTCACTCGCAAATGACTTCGGCCATCGAACGAGTTGTTTGTCCGTTTGCGTTAGTGTTGGTTGAGTCGTTGATTTTTGTTGTGTTTCGTTTTTTTTCCTCTGCTTCTTCTTATTCATTTAATTCTGCGAATCAGAAATTCGTCGAGAATGCGATTGAAGGTCTCTCCTCTTTTCTTTGACATTCAGATCGGTTCGCTCATCAATTATTTATTTTGAATTCGTCTGGATTTTCATCATTGGCTTTTTTGTTGTCGACGGCAAACTTTATTTGTGGTATGTTCGCGCTCGGCTGCCTGAATATCAGCATAAATTAAAGTTGATATGGAATTTTTTTCTGCTTGTGTGACATTAGACTGCTGTAAACAAATTCAGAAAAAATACAAACGATTTTTTTCTGCAATGGCGTACATTCCAGTGGCTGTTTATTTTGTATTAACCGATGTTCACAAAAGATGAACACAAAAAATGATTTTCGTTTAAAATAATTATAGTTTCGAAATTCCATTTCAGACTATTACGATGGCGAATGGAAGCGATTGCAAAAACGGCAAATGGACGATTATTCCATAATTCAAGTGAGTATTCCTGAGTTTAGTAAAGATTATATCCAAATAACATGCTAAAAAAAGTGAGAGACTCAAAGAGAGGAAGGACCTCAGAATTGCTTTGTAATTGAAATTCCTGTGTTTAAGTCATTTTCAACGATTCCTTCCTATAATTTCCATTTCTCGATATTCCTTATTCCGCCCAAGCTGCAACGTTTAATTTACTTTCAAATCGATAAATTCACTGTTCGATAGCATGCAAAACAGTAGATACAAAGGCATCGTGATGTTGTCGATTGTGGCAATCTTTTCGATCGGCGATTCGGATTCATCGTAAACAACATTCATTTTTCAATGGCTTAATCAGCAAAGAATCGAGCAGCACATTAGATACGATGCTGCTTTTATTGTTACTGCATTAACGTATCTAGTCGCTCGTAAAGCTATCATTTTGTGTGATACACATTCATTTTATAGATCCGATTCAAAATGGCTTTATTCAATGTACAGAGAGCGTGTTATATTCCGAGAGCGGATAATCGATGCTTCGTCATGCAAAGCTGACTGTGACTTTGGCCAACGTTTCCGATCCGCAAATGCAGATGCATCAGATATGGTCGTCGATATATATGGTTGTTTTTATGAGAAGATGGCATTTTTGCCAAGCAAACAAATGACGTTCACATGAAAAGCGGATATCATTTGTTTATTTTTCATATCTGTGAGTTGAGCGCTCGTGAGTGCGCTCGCGCTCGTACGCTCGTAGGATACGCTTTGGCGAACCCTTTTTTTTATTGTCAACCGACATGGCATCATCATCTATCTAGATTCATATTCATAGGGCGACCCCGAAATATATTCGGAATTTATCGAGCGAAAATAGAGCGCAACAATGATGAGAACCGAAAAAAGAAGTCGCCCAAAAAGTAAAAGTCGATATGGTTCCGGTTAATAATGCAAACGCACTCTCGGCACCGCACACACATAACAACGACGACAGTAATAATGATAGCGATGTTTGACTAACACAAACCATTTTAATGCCAAAAAGAATTGCAATAGCCATGAAGAGAAAATCCCAGCTCACTCACACTGTACAGTACACACACTATGGATTTTATGCACAAATAATGAATTGTTGAATGTCTCAATTGCACAAAACAAACCATTTGCTCGAGAGTTGAATGCTGTAAATCAATTTTCGGGTCGCATAATGGAAGTTTCAGTTTGTTTTTCACAGTTTTTGAATTAAGTAAAAAAGGGGGAAGCGCTGCAGCAGAAAATATCTCTTTGCTCTCACACACACACAATCAGCAATTTATGGTCGGCCATTTTTTCTAGATTTAGTCATTGTGTTCTACACATTGAATTATCTTGCAATTCAGTAACGCTTCCATCGTCGAATGTAGAACAATTGGAATAATCGATAAGATAAGCGATAAATTCACATTCGTGACAACAATAGAAATCATGATCCTTTTGTTCTTCGACAGCACATGATGATCTATTCAATCCACAAAACTTTTGTTCAATTTCGAAATTCTACTTCGGAGCTTTTCACTTCGTACTACATTTTCGTTTCCATTCAGACACAGTTGAATCGTACACGAAATGGGTGGAGTGAAGAATTATTTCTTCGTTTTGTGTCACCAGCCTAAAAGTGATTTTGTTTTTTTTTTCTTTTTGGCAATGCCGCATACCATTGAAAATGGAAAACAATAATTTTTCACCTTTCTTATTCTTATTATTATTTTTTCCTTCGTTTTCTTGTTCGGTACTGAGGGGAAAACTGACGGCAATAAATTATATTTATCGCTTTATTTTCTCTGCCTTTGCCTGCTACACTGAAATATCGACACACAAAACCTCGCTTTGGTTTCGTGAAGAAAATAACTTTTTCTGATTTGACTAAAAAAGGTCGAGGCATTCGTTTTTTTGTGTGTGTGTGTGTGTGTGACATGAGTCGACCATTTGTTCTATACGTTACCTGTTTTTTATTTTGTTCTTCGGGTGTCTTCGACCAAATTCAAGGACTAGCTTTAACAAATAGAGAAATTGAAAGCCAAACACAGTTTGGCTCAGACTCAGAACAAGAAATATTATTTATTTGTAATTTATTACGGTATGGCATTTTGTTTGATTTTCTTTTCTGATTTCTCGCTTTATTGCTCATTTCGTTTCATTTCGTATGTAAAGTATTAGAGATAAGTTGTTTAATTTGTTTCGCCTTTGTGATCTCGAAACGAAGAGAGAAAAAAATGACTCAATTCAAAAGGTCGAAAGTGTTTGAATAGGTGTGTCGTGTTTGATTCCCATTGCTCGTGGAAAGAAAGTAAGCGTGCACACAAAATGGTAGTACAAGCAACGTATTCCTATTTACTGTTCTATATGAGTTTGAATCGCATTCTTTCGTTCAGAAAGTATCCAGTTCTTTTCTCTCAAAACATTCTTTCTTCGGAAGATGATTCACATCAACTAAGAATCCAAAAATAACCTTCTGTTTTTATCTCTATAGAAAACAAGTTTAGACTATTTTTTCAATTTAATCTCTCCGAGAGAAAAAAACACTCTTCCATTTTTAATCGTTTCAGATATTTTTTTTTTACATTGAACGGGAATATCGTTTAACAACCTATCTTATTTTATTTTTCCAATAAAATCGATGCCCCTTTGAAATATGACATATCGTTTGAGCTGAAGCAAAGAAAGTATTATTATCTAAAATGTTTGCGTTAAATTTCTTTTTGATTGAGCCATTTCGCGTGGAATAAACAGGAAAACAAGACAAATTCAATGGGAAATAAAGTGCAAACCGATTAGTATAGCTGTTCAAGGGCAGATGTCATGACGAAGATTCACCAAGCACGAATCGTACATCGAATGCGTTTTCGATGCGCCATGCCCATTTGTTGTTGTAATCGTCGTTGCGGTTCGGCACTACTCTTCCCGTGGTTAGAAGAGGTATTTTACATTCGTTCTGAATGGTTTGTGTCTGCACTAAATCGATAGCCATTTCATTTGTGTTTTTATTTCGATTTGGCGTAAAAACAAAAGAGAGAAGAAATAAAATAATAGTAAAAGTGCGATTTTCTTTGACATTTTAATTGATAAATTATGCTTTGGTATCAGTAATCGCATCGAAAATCAAACAATTAACATTTCAAATGGAATTAGCCATAAAAACCATTTGAGATAAAGTACGCCAAGTGAAAAAAGTATTTATGATCTGAGCGTTTGAAATCTTTTATGTCATCGTTTCAAATTGTTTGAGTTTTATGGGCATTTGTTGTTTTCATTGAGATTCGGTGTTAACGTCCAAAATTTACGATGCTGTTTCAAAGCTTGTTCACAGCGAAAATTTATTTGAATATTCAAGTTTATGGCATTTTGAGCATATTATTGCCGTTGTATTGATGCTTTCGCATACTTAAACCGTTTTCGCTTTGAGATAAAGTCCCTCAAAAAAATTGAGTAGAAATCACAAACAAAACCCAATTGACTCACTGCAAATTTGCTCTTTTGGCAGTCATTTGAATTGTTCTAAGGAGATTTTTCAGTTGGTTGCGTCTCAGTCGAATATCTTTTAAAGTACTTGTACTGAGTAACCGAAATGATGCTATTTGTTTTGTTTCTTGTTGGTTTCTACCTTCGTCAAAATTATCGGTGTGTATTTGAGTCTGTCTTACTTTGGCTTGCCTATTTTGTATGTGGCAATTGTGCACTTCGTACCAATTGTGATTCGGCATTAGGTGCCGTAACTATGGTTCTCTGATGCCATAATCGGCATTTTGGATGAGAGAAAACGTGTGTGTATGTGTGCTTTCGGTGTGTACAATGGGTATTCATCCAATGCGCCCGGTATCACTCTCGCTCTCTCTTTCATTCACTCGGTTTTTCGGTGGAGTTTTTATTAGTAAATTATTTTTGATTTTTACGATCAGTAAAATACTCGTAAATGTCATACCCGTAGCCCATAAAAACGGCACATTGCCACAAAAGCTGTGATTGTGAGCGCGTCGAGTGCATAAAACTTAACTTTTATTTTTATGTTTGTTTCCATGTTACTTTTTGATACTGGGTGATGTGTTTGTTTTGTTGGTGCTACTGTTGTTGCTGTTGTTGTTGTTTTCTTTCCATTTTTATTTGACGATAACCATAATGTTAATGATATTTCATATTGGGCTGGATCGCACGCCCGCTATCCTTTTTAAATGCAATCTGTTCGCCTGTTCTGCGTTCCTCGTGGTAGTTCCGCACTGTGTCTCTCTCTTTTCTCACTCTTCCAGTCAAGTGTATTGTTCCGACATCATCGCCGGTTAAATTGTGTCAAAATCGCACCACAACAAATTTTACCGACACATGAACACTCTTTTTTATTGAACACATTATCAGGAGATTAGTAGTCATTTTCGGGCGCAAAGTCTTAAGCATTAAGTAAACATTCAATAAAACACCAATTTTCCGTAATCTGAATATTTTATTGGGCTGTTTTTTTCGGTTGATTTTGTTGTCATCACCAAAACTTACGTTCATGGGTACTTTATGACATAAAAAAAGTAACATAAAAAAGGAGCAACAGACACAGAATGCACATACAATCGTAAAGTTTTCGATGCGGTTGTGAAGTTTTATGGTGTGTTTTGGGCTGAATTTTTCAACAGTTTTACAAGCTATTCGGTCATATCGATTCCGACAGCGATTACATTATTTATGGATTTTTAATTTGTACTGTTTTGCTCTGGCGGCGAACCGTAATTTAATTTCCAGTTTTAGCGTTTAATGTCTGTGTTATTTGCCACGTGCGCTATTAAACATCATGTTTAATGTGGGAATTTTTTTACGGCCCTGGGAATTTTTCTAGCCAATTTCACTTACTATCGTTTACTGTTTCGTTGGCTAGTGAATAGATTGAAAATCATATTAATTTACACCTGCGATTGAAATTCAAATGGGCAGCGTTAAATGAGAGCAACGCGAGCCAACCAACTATAAAGCTATTGACCATTTGGCAAGAGAAGTCATAAAATACGCTGATTCGAATAATGATAGTGATTATGTGTTATTTATGATTTTTCCTTGCTTTTCGATGCCTTGAATGGAGAAAACGCTAGCCCAGATCGCATTTGATGCAAAAGCACCATCAAAACGTTTGATTGAAATGAAAGAGATCTTATCACCAGGCCTCTCTAATAGGCGTATACTTAAGTGCACAATTGTTATTGTTGAAATGGATACTCTATTCTGGTTTCTTCTCACATTTTATTTTACATATTTTATTGCCCTTGGGCAAATTAATGCTTTGTATTCATTCAGACCACGCGAATTCTACAACATTCGAGATTTTTGCTTACACTTTTCTTTTTGTAATTTTTTTTCATATTTCAAATGACTGTACACAATTAATTCGTCTTGCTGAAAGCTAACCGCTAACTACTGGTGTTTAACCAAGCAATGCGCGCATTTTAATTCAATTGTAAATGTGAATGGACAGACGGAATGGCAAAGACAATTGCATGGAGAAATGTGAGAAGCGAACATGGTGAAGCATAAATTGATTAATAATTTAATAATTATAGTTAGAGAGATAATTACAATTTTCTCTTGGTTGAATTAACTAACTGATATTATCACATGCCGCTTAATTATGCTCCTCCTTTTTACAGAATTGTTAATATGATTTATGATTAGATGTTGAATTCAATTTTGCTTTGATTTATTCCGCTTGATCTCAGATAATTTTGACGTTTTCTTGCGTTTATTTTTTTATCAAAAATGTATTCGTAAAATGGCGTCTATTCTAAAATTATAAGCTAATGAGAATTTTTTATATTAATTTGTCGTGTAAACAGTAAAAACTTAAAACTTAAAACGTGTAAACTTAAACTATTGTTTACTTTACATTAGCCATCTACAATTCTAATTTAGCGTGATAAAATAATTTTTTTTTCGGGGAAATCTCAGCAATCTTTCTGAAAGACACCATCTGTTAAAGACATTCTCATCCGAAATCTATATATATAAATCTTCCATAATATCCAATTTTTTCCGAGCAGTATCTTGTTTTTGTCATTGAATAAAAGAAATGCGTCCAATGTTCTAGTTCATACCACTCAATCACTGGAGAATCTGAAATGAAGAAAAAAAATCGTGAAAAATTTAGAGTTTTTCGTGATTTATTTTAACATTTGAAACTTGAAAATGAATGGCTTATGATTCAACAAACAGCATACAGACATTGTAGAAGGATGTCCCGACATTCTCTCTCTCTCTCTCTCACCCCCTCCTTCTCTCTCTCTCAGTTTCACTCTCACTAAATTGGTTTCTTACGTTCAATTCTAAAATTGAACGAGCGTCGCTTCTTCATGTTGTAGCGTTTGATTTTTTATGCAGCTTTCCCAAAGATTTATGATATTTCTTTTACATATGTACATGTACATGCACATGTAACATTGCGCTGCGCACACATGCGGATGCGTCTCATTGAATTCATAAACCGTTTTGGATATCTCGGAAGATTCAAAATAAAAATAAACTCGAATTCAGATTTTCCGTTGAGACAAAATGAACGCAACTGTATTCTGAAATGGGAGCACCTTTAAAGGGAAAATAAATAAAATTTCTAATGTTTTGAATTGCCATTGCATTACACATATTTAGCTTTTGAATGGCTTTGGAATTAATAGAAATTACGGCTTGAATGACCAGAAACAATCAAAAGGTAATCTTTTGAATAATATCAAATCCATAGGATTGTCTTTATATATAGAAATTGAATATCCTTAACAAATCTGAGCAATTTACATTTATTTATAAACAAGCGTTGTATATAATTAACAAATCTTTCGAATATTTTGATTTTTAAGCTGTTTTTCGCTTAGATTTTCATTTTTTTTTTTTTTTTCAAAGAAATGTTGCATTTATATGTTTTGCAATTTTCTGGCAATTCGAAATTGTTTTGTTTGTGTATCTCTTGTAAAATCGTGTAACTGAACTATGTATGTAGGGTATATTTTTGCACTTCTTTCTTCTGTACTTTCTTTTCCTTTTTTTTGTTGGTGTTGTGAATTTGCGACAAAGAATTATGATTTATGGTCCAATGCACTCAAGCACGTTTTCTCGTCTATTTGCCATTGTATTTGTGCTGTTGCCTTCGAATGAAGCAAATCAATGTGAAAAAAACGACTGCACACAATTTACCGGTGGTGGAAATTGCTTGCTGTTCGTAGTTGCATGCCGTCGTGATGGCAACCATGCCTCTTCAGAATACCACCGTCACTGAGATGCTAGATTAGATAGAGAGCCAAACGAAAGAGAGGGAGAAAGAAAAACAGAGAAAAATATAACATTGATTTATGAATTATTTTGGTCAAAGACAACAATACAGATGAAATGTACAAACCCGATTGTTACAAAACATTTTGTGTGCGCTGTGCTGAGGTGTAAAAGGCTGTTAAACAAAGACTCAGCTATTGGAAATGGTTGCGTAAATAATTTATTGTTTCGATTTGCCATATTTCTACTAAACAGCCACGATCGTTGCAAAGCCTTCAATTCTTGGCGCTCGAAGAAAAACGTGAAAATCTGCGGCTTTCAGCAAGCGAATTCAATCTGAAGATAAAAACAACAATTGAAAAGAATATGTCAAAAATCAATTTTGAATGGAATTTTAATTTTTCTGCTGTAATTTTACGTTTACAAATCATAAATTTCAATATTTAATGCATTGTTTTTTCGTTTTTGTTTTCTTTTTTTCCGGTGCAGGTTGACAAACGTTGGAGTTGAAGTTGGAGTACGGCGCACCCATGTGAAAGCGAGCAAGAATATGAGTTTGGCTTGCAGTTGCCAGTCAAAACAAATCGTAAAATTTATTGTCGATTTGGTCGTAAAATTTTCTTGCAGCAAGTGAACCAAGTGAATTTAATACGTTGTTTACGATGGCCTTGGCCATGGATTTTGCCATGACGAGCAAACGAGCGAGTGAATGCGCGTCGATTGTAATAAATGTTGATGGCTATGTATGGGATACGCGGATTCACCAAATACACAACTTTAACGATGATGATTACGATCATGTAAAAATATCACTCATGACGTCACTCTCAGTGTGCCGTTTATTGCGTAATAATCAGCCAGACTCATCCCGACCGATGAAATGAAAATGTGGCACGTAAACGTCTCTTTCGGTATGCATATTTAGCTGCAAAGAACACACACACAGTCGTAATGATAAAACTAAATGAATCCCGTGATTGCGTTCCTGCTTTCATCAATCCAAACTCAAAGCGTTTAGCTCACTGTCTCACTCATTTCCATGGTATCCGCCATGGCGCAACACCACAAACAAAAATCAAGAGCCAACAGAAGAAGAATGAAAAAAGTAACGCCGTATGAAAGAAGCATGAAACGTTGACTGCATCAACTGCCAAGCCAATGCGAACACACACAAAGCAGACGCATACTCCACAAACTACTTGGATAAATAGGTACTTAGTACTTATGTTTATGATTATTTTATATTTATTACATCTATTTTTATGGTGTTAAAGGAACTGAAAGGAGTCTCATCCACCACAGTGTGTCTTATACAAAGTAGGAGCATGCAAGTTTTCTTTCGTTCACTTTGTTTAGCTTCTGATTGTACGCAAGCACTTGAAAATCAATGCAAGTTTCGATGAATGGGCACTGATTTCTCTTCTTTTTTTGCCCCACCCGTCTCCATCATGTACGTGCCAATGTTTATTCTCTTGATCGAAAAACTGAATGATGATTTTCACGATGTGCGATAACATTTAAATCTATTGGAAATGTATTACTTGCTAATAGGTATGCATCTGATAAACAAGACCAATACCATTTTTGGCATCGAAACTTTGGTTTTTTTTACTCGTACCAGTAAACAAGTTTTGGTTTAAAATGGCGTTGTCGATGTAAAATAAATCATCCCAAAAGTAAATATCATCACAGAATGCCGTTGAATCATATCAATCGTAGTCGTTAGGAAAATGAAACAGAAATCGAGACGTCTGTGATCAATGTTTTATATTTTTCAACCTTTTTTCAAGTGCACAAAAGAAACACCCAGACATATATACCATGCTGAAACCGATAAACAGAAATAAATCGAGAATGTTTTAAAAATAAAATCCATATCGCTTCATTTTATTTACGTTTTCAGTCGACCAAAGTGCGAGCGAGACGGAACTAAAGATCCTTGAAAGAGAAATAGAGGTAAGCGTCATTCATTCAGGAAAATCTGAATAAAATGAAGAGAATACCGAAATTGAATTTTTATTACATGTTTAGCTATTAGTTTGATCGTTTTGGGCATCATAAAAATTAAATTTTATATTATGATTACGATTATTATTATGACTGTTATTATGTATTTACTTAACACCGCTGGCTAGGCATATCAATGTGGCCCCATTTTATATGTACACACAACACACAGGTTACTGTGAACAAGTGTTCTTCGATCGAACTTTTCGAGAGAGAGAGAGAAAAACATACATGCTAAAACACGCGGCACACGCGGAATTACGGTTTCAAGCAACAAAAAAGAATCAAAAATTTACTAATACAATTCCACAAAGTATTGAAACTGAAGGCACGAGTCATGCAAAACGAAGTATGTCTCGTGGGAAGAAAAATCACTTTTGATTGTGCTTCATCGCGCTTGTATTTTGTTTGAATGAATTTATGATTTTAATTCCATTTAAATCGAATTAGGCAGATTTCTTGAAAACAATGGGAAATTAATCGCTGTAGGTTTGGATTCGAAAATGATCACATTTTTACATGATTACAGTTTTTGTGTGCAAGGAAGAAAAGTAAATGTTTGTCAGTTTATTGAAAGAAGAATTTGGTTATGAATAAATAACTGTGTTGGTTTTAAACCGATTAAATGTTTGCGTATTCAAATGTGTTTGTCATAAAAATGACTAGCAAAATCTATGACTTTATCGAAAGATAATTTTGGAATATGACGACGATGTATTTTATGGTTTCTAACCTCATGCTCTAGCACGTGAACTGATATTTATGGAAAAACCGAATGGTAACAAATGAACAAGAAGAGAATGAAAACAAAATGAAAGAGAGAAGCATCCATTCGACACACAGCGTTCGTATTCAATGGAATACGAAAACCGAAAGGAATGTTGTGTGTTTGTCTCTTTTGGGCAAACTGAATAAAAATGTCGCCAGTTTTTATGTCTGTGTGTATGTGTGTGTTTTTTTCTTCTCTTCTCTCGTGTGTATTTTCCGTTTGATCAAAAGGCATGAAAGACACAGCGGAAAAAAAATCTTACCGAATGTGTTTCTTTTTTCAAGTGGCTATGCGACACACAGTAAGTTGAATATGATGAGAATTTTTATTTTTTCTTTGGTCGGTTGAAAAAAGGGTATGCTATACTGTGAATGCTGTACACATGGACCGTTTCAAAAAGGCAGAATGGAAGAAAGAAAAGGAAAGTGCTAGAATAAAAAAAATGCTCGGGCTCTTGTTGATATCACTGATAACCATTGCAGGCAATTGAATGAGCGACAAAAGAGCAAAAGCTACACACATAAAATGTTCAATGTTACAGCCTTTGCTTTTTCGCCTAAGCATTTCGTTCCCTTTGGACGGCACGAAATATTCATATTGAGCCGAACACCAAACTTACAAGGGTAAAGTATATTAGGTAACGAAATGTTTACGGCATCGTTACTGCTCATTTCGACAATTGTTCAAATCTTTTGTTCAATTTCATCCCAAAACTGTTTCCATACACATTTCGTGTTTCGACGTTCTTTTTTCTCATTTTTTTCCATTGACATTCAATTACTTTTCCTTTTACTCTCACTTCAGTTTATTAAGAATATTGGCCATCTGAATAAAATACGAAATTGTTGTACATTTTTCTTTGGTTTTTATTGATGCTTTCCGTTGGAATTGATTTGTCAAACGACATCACTTGTGTGAGTGAAACTCTCTCAATGAAAATCTCAAGAGTCATTTATTTATGAAATTCAGAAACATGTAAAAATGAATCACATGGCTCACAAGCTTGTTTTTTTTTTTCTCAAGTGGCTCTAATTCAAAACGGCTACCGAAACTCGTCTAGCGTCTATATTTTTTTGAAGGGCTCGTGAAGTCAAAGGAGCTCTTTTTTTCCTGAAGTCATGAATCTCTGAACTATAATTGGCCAAATGGTTCATTTACGTTGACAAAACTAGTTCTTAATCGTTGCGCTACCATTTAAACACGTCTTGTCCATTCATTTTGTTTACATTGCTACCCAGAATTTATGACTGTCAATAAAGCAATTACAAGACGCTCGTCTATTCAAACAAATTTGCGTATGGGCAACTGGACACTTTTAATTCGACACCACTTAGAGGAGGATATCGCCGTTGAATTTTCACGAAATAGGTCATCAAATTTTATGGCTCTTAAATTTTATCTACGGAAGGATTATGAATTATGAAGGGCTTTTGACTTATAAAATAGTAACAATTATCCGGTCGAGCGTATGAATTTGAATTATGGCGCCAGAAAAGGACACTTATATGAATATTTTTTATCGCACGTTTTGTGCAATGTATACAAATGCATATAGCAATGTGACGAATACAAAGTGGAAAATGTTCCGTGACGAAGGAAAAACACGATTTTCCATTCGTAAAAGGAATTCATATTATTGAACACTGAAGGCAGCCAATTTCAATATCGAAATGAGCCATTTCAAATAAAAACATTGTATTACATTGTAGTAGAATGAGGCTTTTCCGAGTGGGAAAATAGAAAATGAAAAACCACAGAATAGCTTCAAGTCAATAAAAATATTGGCAAATGCGTACACGATTGCTTTCTGTACGGTTTCATTGTTGTTGCTTGTTGGTTTGCTCTCATTTTTCATTCGTCGGTGGTGTACGGTTTCAGGCAGCCCCGATACGACGTCCGTATCGAGAGAGCGAGAGAAAGATGTGCACACAGCACTAGCGTTGTGCCGTTAACGCAGCAGTTAAATTGAGGCACTAATGCCTTATGCTATGAACGCCAGCCTGCCCGCATTGTATTTGGTGTGACGTGATTGTGTGCGTGCATTGGTGCTTATGCTTGATTTTCCTCGTGGCAAGCAATTGATATAATAATACATAGATTTCCAACACTGTAGCGTAGCCGATATGGTATGGTCGCATTGTACTTGCGCTCAAAATACATAAAAATGAGTCTGTTTTCTACATAGAACATTCGGAACACAGTGTTGTAGCGAGAGCGCGCTATGTGAAATTGGATATTCGGTTGTGGCAAGCCGAAACAAACGCAATACTCAGTACGAGCTACTGTGTGTGCCTTTATCCCAAATGCACAACTACAAATGCATACGGTTCCGATACCGACAACTCCAACCGAATCGAGCAGGAGTCAGTGCTAACGTTTATTATTATTATTATTGTTATTTTTGTTGTAATTTTCGGTTTTAGTAAAGCATCGTTGTCGTCGTCGTATGTCCAAAGTGGAAGGAAAAAAAGAGCATGCAATGGCAGCAGCAGAACGTTTGATTCGAGGGCGCTAAGCTGCCTCGTACATATTTTCATTCATTCGATTGGAAGCAACTGCAACGAACAGGCGCGCTTTTATCTCAATTTTATTATCCAATTTTATTCACTATTTAACAATAATCACAAATACGTTAACGGCAATTTTAACTAGTTGGTCCTCCATTGAATCGCTCACTCATTCTCGCATTCGACTACTTGCATACCAATTCCAAGCTCAGTGCAGCGGTGCAATAAAAATAACAACACACAACAACATCAATAAAAAAAATACTCATAAAAGTTAATATGCGATAATTTTTTTGTTGTTACGGATTGTTCTTTTTTTTTAATTTCCAAACTTTCCATTGAAAAGAAATGATCAGTCGCACAAGTTAATTTGTGTCTGAAATTATTTGTTGCGTTATTATGTCTTCAGATAAAAGTGAATAAGTAACGGTTTTTTTGTATTTCAACATTGCTGATAAAAAATAAATTTAAATATAAATAAAAATTATAAAACGGGAACTTTCGATAAATTGGCATATATTTTTAATGTAAAAATTTTGGCAATTTTTGAGTTTTGTTTTCTAAATGATTCGACACCAATTCATGGCAAGAAATCTTTCGTTTCAAAAGTAAATTGAAAGACCTTTAAAATTTCGTTGAAGATAAACGTTTTTTCTTTCAGTTGAAAGAAATAAAATCTTCAAGAAGCACATTCATTACGGTCATTTCAGTGCGGTGAAAAAGCTTTTCGGCACATAAAATTGTGAAGTTTGTGTACGAATCCACTTTAAAACGGGATACGAGCAGCACGCCTGAGCGAAAAAGAGAGACATCCAAATTGAAAAATAAAATTTAGCGATTGCCAGTAAAATTCCAAAGTAACGATCATTCATAGAGCAGTTACCAGTTCATAAGCACGGCAATCACGTCAAGTGTATTAACTAGCAGCCTGAGTAGTAGCAACAGCAACAACAGCAGAGAGCGCGCGACACTCCGAACTATTTCAGCGAATACAAGCGAATGAAGTGAACAGTTCGAGAAAGTCATACTACGAATTCGAAGCTCGGTCGCACTCTCTATCTCTCCGCTCACTCAAATACTCACTCACTCACATATAAAGCACGGTAACACGTTGTATAAGGCGTATAAAGGAACGTGTGAGCGCGCGCGGAGGAAAGAATCGAAAAAGAACAATATTCCATACACACAAGCTGTGTACTACACACAGCCGTCAACCGGGGCGCACACAGAGAGGGAAAGAGAGCAAAGCACACCGAAAAGCCAAACATACACACAGAGTGTAAGCAATAACATCAGTCACTGTGTGATTCGGCATTTGATATCAGTATCGTTACTAAAGTCATCGAGATCGGTTGCTTGAAACTGTTTATCTTAATTGCGCCATTTATATATGAGAAATTTTTGCGTAGCAAACGACAAGTCTTGATTTTTGCCAATTGTTTGAGAGAAAAAAATCCCGAAATTTTCCTGGTCGATCCAATTCTATTTTGAAAAATTGTTAGTGTAACAAAAAAAATTAAAATCGAAATTTCCATCAAAATTTTGAAAACAAAAAAATTTAGGCGATTTTACGACGACACGATTTTTGCGTGAAAATTTGAAAAATTGTGGAAACAACGACAAAGTGCTGAAAATTATTTCATCAATCAACTCAAAGTCCGGTGTGAATAAAATTTTGCGATTTCACCGCCTTCAACGCGAAATTTGTGTGTATCAGTCCATGTGTTTAAATGTGACAAGTCTGTGACGAGTGCGCGACGGAGTCATAAAATTATTTTTGATTATTATTTTTACGATTATTGTTATTACTATTTTCCCACACATAAAAAAATAAACTCTCACTCGGGCTAAAACAAGTTGACAAGAGCCAAACAAAAACGAGGAACAAATAAACATTATAATCGCAATAAAATAAAAATCAAACAGATCAGTGTCGTCAAAACATACTATAAAATATTTAACAATTCTATGGATTTTTTGACCGTCGTATCAAATTGATATTAAACCAAATAATAATCATAATACTGAAGACAACAAAAAAGAGAGAAATATATCGAGAGTCATCAAACAAACGAGAAACATTTCACAACTGAGAGGTGGTGATGACATTTATGGTTAATAAAACTCATTTGAAAATGATTTGAATGCGATTAATTTGATTTTTTTTAATTGACAACTTCTTTATTCGATCGCGTGATAGCATAGACAAAACAGAAAAAACTTTTCCCAGTTTTAGCAAGAAAAAAAATTAATTGGAAGCTACATTTTGGAAAAAGAAATCGAAACCCTTTTTCATTGAAGAACTGAATTGGTGAATTTTTTTGGTGGTGAACAAAAAGCAAAATCCGCTAAAGTGTTAACAACATTGAAGTGACGAGAGTCTGTAATTTACTCTGAACAAATGTGTTTTATTTCGTGTTTAATTCGAGTTTAATGTATTTTTGCTTCTGAATTGCTCAAGTTCTTCAGCAAGAAACTATTAATTATACTCACAGCAATTTTCTTCAATAAACTCGTCTACCTGTGAAACTCGCACACACACACATACACACCTTGAGTGAAAACGAGCGAGCCACGAATAAGCGAACCACAACAGAATACTAATAAAATTGAGATTTGTGCTTTAGATGGCTTACATAACAAACACTTGAGCGCGAAAGGGAATTTACTGAACGAAGCCAGCGAACACGTGAAACAAAGTGAACGTTCTAATTACGAATTGAACGAGAGAAAAAAAACGATAAATATAAAATTGCAACAAAAATCAGTTTTCATTTTCGATTGATCTTGAAAACGGCCTAATCATTCTTGCCAATATGAATTCATATTTTGAACAGAGCGGTTTTTACGGTCATCCGCATCAAACAAGCGGAATGAGCATGGCAGCGGGTGCACATCATGATCAAAGTGCAACAGCCGCATACAGAGGTTTCCCATTGTCACTTGGCATGACACCATACGCAAATCATCATTTACATCAATCACGATCGACACAAGATTCACCATACGACGCAAGCATAACTGCCGCTTGCACAAAACTCTACGATGGATCCTATAACAAAGATTGTGCCAAAACTGGATCCTCAAGCGACACAAATGGCTACAAAGATGTGTGGAACACATCCGGATCGAATGCTCAAAACAATTCGACACCAGTTCGACCATCAGCTTGCACACCCGACTCCCGTGTTGGTGGCTACTTGGACGCAGCCAACGGCAGCCCAGTCGGTCGCTCTGGAAATGGCTCATCATCGGGCGTCTCAGCTAATGCTTGGAATTCATCACAATGTGGCATCACCGGAGCCAGTGGCCAAGTTGCTGCCGCAGCATCTGGACTCCACCAAGCCAGTAATCACACATTCTATCCATGGATGGCTATCGCAGGTAAATTTCCATTTATAACTTAAAATCATAACAACTGCAGTTATTATTACTATTTTCAACTCCGAAAATGATTTTTTCTTTGTTTTTTGTGTCAAAAATTGAGTGATATTTTTTCGTTCAAAATTTTCGTTTTTGTAAAATTGGAATTAAACCGTTGATAAAAATAATCTCAATTAACGTAAAATGTTACAAATGCGTGAAAGAAGAAACAAAAAATGAAATTCCCTCGAAAATTCATACGCTCAACTGATTATTATTATTCCGGTTCTCATAAAACGTGAAGAAAAAAAAAGTATCGCGCGCGCGAAAAGCACAATGAACTGCCGTCGGTATTGTACGCGTACAACGTCAATTTTAATTGCACGATTAGCTGTCTTTTCTATGTAGATCACATGAAAACGTGTTTCAATTTAAAATTCATTGAAATAAATCCGAATTTCTTCTTTTATGATTATTTCATTATTTTTTCGCTGTTTTTTTTTCTTCACGAAAATTATTTTTATCGCATTCATAAAAAATTTATCGCTACTTGACTTTTTATTGCTTATTCTTTCCACTTTGCGCAAAAGAGCGAAAAAACAAAACAAAGTGAAGTAAAGCGTAAATGCTTTGTTCTGTACGGTACAACCGGTATTTAGAGAGTAATTGACAAAAAAACCTACTGAAATGAAATGAAGATGTAAAGGGACGCGCACTGGAATAATCTATTGCATAAAATATGGTGTGTGTATGTGCTGAGCAAGCAGTGAGTGACCGACAGTGTACGTTCTCAGTTACCCGCATATTTTTCGCCGCCGCAACACCGAATATTTGCCGAATCGATGCTCGTTCGCCATTGTCCCTTGAATCGCTTATGAAAGAATGATGATCATAATAAAAAGGTGCTAATCGGTTATATTGTTGTGTTTATGTAGTTTTCTTTTCCATTTCACGTATTGAACGGCACACACACTGCGCTCTCATGAGAGGCGAACGAGCGCAACGGCAATACACTCACACACACACACACACAAAACAGATAATAGGCATTTAACACTTTTGCTGTTTTAAATCTTGCCCAAATGGGCTTATTATTGCTGATATTTATGATCCTGGTGAGAGTTTCTAAAACCACGTCGAGCAAGCAGCAGCAGCATGGCACTCAACACAGAAGTCACACCAAGAACAAACAAATGAATATGAAACGAATGATGATGTGCAATGTGTGCAGCGAACAACGGCACCATAACCAACCAAACACACCCCAAATCATTTTATGACTTTTATTTTTGCATAAATTGCAAACCTTTTTTCGCTCTTTCCACTCTTCTGCACTGCGTTCACTCTTTTCGGTGAGTGAGAGTGTATGTGTGTGTGTGTGTTTCAATAGAGTCGCATATATACAGCCCATGAATTTTACAACGATGTTGTTCTTTGTCGCATCTTCCTTTTTCGAAACCCGATCCAATGCCGGATTGCTATAGTGAGTGCAACAAACATAAAACTCGGTGAATAGCAACAAACGGGAGCTACTGAAAAAAAGCTTCTTTTGATGGCCACCATTCAGATGATATATATATATATATATGTGTGTGTGTACTGAGTGTGTATAAGTGTTTAAACATCATTAAAATTCACCACATAGTGTGATACAAACACCAAATAATTGCGTTACGTCGGTTAATCAATTTGTAATCATCAAATGCGTGAATGCCCAAATTAGAGAGAACGTACCACTTTGTCTATTATTGTTATAACCATTGGTTGACTTTTATTCGAAACTGAATTGGCACCCATTTAAAATTCACATAATTAATAAATGTCTTAATTAAAAGAGGGAACGTAAAAGTAACAAAGGAAAACATTCAAAACGGAATTTAGAGATACAATTTTAATGAAGCAATCGAAATAAAATGTTATATTCATTATTTTGTTTACAGTCGTCAGTTAAATTACGGCAGATGGATTTGAAGAATTGGAAGAACTGAAGGCGAAAAAAAAACTTTTGAAATTAATAAGGAAAAAAATATGTTAATTGGATCAGTTAAATTTTTGCTATCATTGATGGAATTTGTTGTATGAAAACAAAATAATTTCAATCCAACTTGAGTGCTTCCCGTCAACGAAATAACTGAAACATACAATGAAGTCATAAAAAATTCTTTACTTTTTTCAAAACATCATTTCTGTTTCGAAATTCAAATGCTTCGCACTCATTTCAACTTTCCGTTCGTATTTCGAAACCCCGAAAAGAATCGCTGAAAAAATGAGATGTGTTGAAAGGTTCAGAGCAATGTCGCATAAAATTGTGCGACGGAGAAAAGAGGAAAAATAAGCAGATTTTTAAGTAAATTTTATGTGTTTTGTCTACCAGCAAAGTGTAAAGCATATGTAGCGAGCGAAAGAAGGCGAAAAAAATGAAATTATTATTCGAAACGGAATATGCAGAGACACAGCAAAAACCGTTCGTTTTTTCTTAAATGCTCGAAATATGTCTCTGTGTGTATATATTCGAAAGTGTTTGTTTATGTTTTCGACTCAGTATTTCCTTCAGATTCCGTTGCACTTTTTTCTTCTCATTTTTTCGTCGTCGTGTTGTTTATTGTTTCGGGCACACGTTCACAAGTGATTGTTATTAACGTTATATTGATTCACTGCTGAGTGTGCAGTAGAAGTGAAAAAAATGAATTCTTTTGTTCGATTGTGTGCTGTTGCATATTGTAGGCGGATTCTAGGTGATGATATTTATTATGAGAAAACCAGTTATGGTTCTGTTTAGTCGTTTTCAGTCAGTGTTCAAAATAAATTGGAGATGAATATCGTCTGTTTGTTCAAAATTTTCGTCGTTTGAATTTATGAACGTTACGCGTCCGATGAATGAATGTGCTCGGAATGTGGCGAAAAGTCATTCGATCAATTTTCGATCATTTCGTGTTTTTCAACTTATTCATTATTATTCGTCATTCCATTTTAAAACATGTCTGTTGCAGCATCAATTTCTTTTCCGTTTGGGAATTCCAAGTGTCAAAAATTCATATATGTCGACTACACCAATTTTGTGTGTGTGCATCCCCCGATAACGAAATTATTGAGTGAGAATGCATTTCTTCTTGATTTAATGAGAAACAAACGTTCAAAATTATAGGGCTTAAAGCCATGTTTCGTTGTCCAGGCCATTAAACGGATTCTATACGAGCATCCGATCAATTGCCATTGCCATTAATTCCGTTACGATTGTTTCGAATCAAAGGAAGAAAAACGAAAAAAAGCGCGCTCAAATTTCGCATGAAGATGATAAAATTACGTCGATTGCATTTTAATGACAGGTTACAATTATTATTACGATTGCAATTACTAAAGTGGTTGTCTGTTGTCTGTTTCCCGGCTGTTATATGCATACAGCAAAAAAAAAATCAGAACGCGATCATTGTGTATCCCTCCATATGGGTCTCACCTTTCTTGCTCCGTTTATTTCAATTGGCAACGCAGAACGCAAATTATCGGTGCTTGTTTTTGTTTACCATTCTCAGTTGCATTTCGAAATGGTAAACGAACACAACATGTTTAGTTCGACTCTGGACCGATATTAATAGAACACGACCAGAGAACAAAAAAAAGCATCACACGATTTTTTGACACTCTTCGTGCTCTCTGAATGAAAAAAAAAACAATTGTTGATTTTTGAATTGACAATTCATTCATTCCGACAGGGTCGCGTTTGAAAATACACATCTACTGGAAAATACTACGTTGTGAGGCTTGATTATTGCACGCCAATCAGTGTACGCATACACGAACGCAAATAAATAACTCAACACATCATTCATATCAGCGGCATCAATTTCTTCGTTGTGTGTAATTATTGATTTCTGAATACATTCGACCGAATGATAAACATAATGAAGAAAATGCATCTTTCAAAATTTGAATGATTCAATGCGACACAATTGGCAAATGGCTTGGCGCCAATTGCCACTCGTGTGTGTGAGCCTGTGTGTATTCGTGTTGCAGTGTAGAGGAAAGAAAAATATATCCAGCCACATACACACACACAAGCGCTTGTGGCTTCGTGTCGTCTTACGTGATAGACATAACATATGGGACGTGCATGGTTGTCGTAGCCATACATTCTGCTTATTTTATTGTATTTATTACATTCTGCATACAAAAATTATCGATCCGGCGCAATTTTCTGCATTTGCAAAACTCCATACGGAGCTCGATATTATTTACATACACATACACTGGTTAGAAAAAAAGAAAGGGTATTTGGGTTTGATATTAGATTTTGTGATGATTGAAAAAAACCGAAAGTGAAAAACCCATAAATATTATGAGTTTGTCAATCATAAACAAAGCTTGTAATTAAAATTATTGCAAAGCAACGAGCAATAACGAGTTGTGTTAATGAAAGCAAGTCGCAGACAAAATAATTACAGTCAAACATTAATATTGGTAAATTGGTATGAGTTTTTAATCGCTTTCGCTACTTGAACGAACGTAAACCGATCATACACACGAACATAGGCCGGAAATCTTATCAGATTTTTTTTACTCTTCGACTTACTCCTGGAAGAACGAGAGCAACGCGCCATATGTTGGTATAATATTTAGCGCTGTACTCATTGGCAAACGCCGCATATATTAACGGCTGTGATTAAAATTAGAAAAGCATGCAGTGCGGTAATTGATAATTATAAAGTACGATTCTAAAGCTGTCGTGTGTAATAATCGTTGGCAACGATCTGGAATGTGACATTTGCCGATCGACGAATGTTTCAAGCAAACAGAACATTTCGATCACAAACAAGTAGATATTATTTAATCAAACACCCGTGTATGCTCAATCAAGCGAAACTAAACATTCAAATTCTGATTTTTCGAGCCGTTCGCCAATTTTCCATACATGCAATGAATTGGTTAACAGATCCGACGGAATCGTTGAACTTCGAAGTTTGCTTATTGGATTTCACGATGATGGGAATCGAGATAAATTTTGCATTGTCCAATTGGAAAAAAAC